AAGTGAAAGAGTCTAAACTGTTATCTCTTCAAAGTCTGGAGGATCTCTCAACCACAGCAGCCATGCTCAGAGTTCCCTCCCACCCAGGTAACACAACATGATCGTTGACAGATGCAGCTGATACTTTATGATGTGACAGATGTTTCAGGGGGCCTGGCATGCTGGGCACTGAGAGGCTCAGTCCTGATCCAGAGCTTGGGCTCATAAAACCTGGAGGGAGGGGGAAAAAACACACAGGCTGCCATAAAAGCAAATAATGTGCCAGGTTATGACTGCAGGTGTCTCCAGCGACTGTACTTTAATTTACAGAAGCGTTGAGGCTAAACGAGAAGTACTTTTAGTGAATGAAACTTACCAAGCCCCCAGAATAAACACAGATTTTAAGGAGTAAACACTGAGATGTGGTGGTGGGGGAACGTGCGGATCTCTAACACGATTGATCAACTTTTTCTTTCCCCAGCTTTTTCCCTGGACAACAAAGACAAGGGCTGACTGGACGAGCAGGGCTCCGACCTCCTCACACAGCTGTTTCGTCCCAGGACACTGGAGCGTGGAGGGAACAAAGAGGACACGCACACGTCCCAAACATTTCGATTTTCTTACCAGGACGATCGCGAATCTCTCCTCCAGCTCCCCCGGCTCGGGCATGGGCAGCTTCAGAGGCATGTTGTGTCCTCTGAGGTCAGTGTGGTGGTCCATGCTCCCCGCGTTCCCCATGTTGGACCAACAAGTACAACTTCTTTCTCTCTCCACCCCCCAACAGCCACCACGTCCACTCCAGGAACCCCCGACACGGTGAGAGAACCAGGGGGGGGGATATCCACGCGTGTGTGTGTTTTAAAGTAAGAGCTCAGTGTTCCTCGCTGATCCGGTTCCTCGGTCGCTTCTTCAGTATGAAGCACACGTGAGGGAGGCGGCGGAATAACGCGTCGGCTCCGGGCACCAGCGACGGAGGCGGCGGCAGTGGAGGTGGCGCTGCCCCCGGTGAGGCATGATCACGGGCAAAGCTGGAAAACTTCGACTGGATCCACACGGAGCCTTTAACCCCCTCCGTTTTCTTCTTCTTCGCCGTTATCCGTATCTTGCACAATTTCGGCTCCACTCCCAGTCTGTAGTAATGACGGCGATCATGATTCACGCTTGTTGCAGTACACCCCCTCCCTCCGGTCTGCTGGGTAGTGACTCTCCTAATCCCTCCACTGCTGAGCAGCTAGTTAAAGAGGAGGGGGTCCTCACTCACTCACTCACACACACACACACACACTCATCCCTCCCTCCTACAATGAGCCCTTTCACACACAAGCCTCCCACTTCTTCTTCTTCTCCTTCTTGGGGCGTAGCTCCCAAAACCGTGGCTAAAGGAGACGATATTTTTCTGTGTTGCATTGTGGTACTTTGAGTCCACTCGAGCCCCCCCCCCCATTTCCTCAGGGGGCCCTGAGCAGGAGGCCCCTGAGCCTGCAGAGGGGCTGTATGAAGTGAACTCAATATTTCCATGTATGTGATGATCAACATGTCTGATCAACTTGTTGCATGTGATTTCTTGATTATTGGATCAGTGCCAGATGTTAAGCAACACAATACACTGCTCAGAACATTTACCAGAATCATAAACGTTCATATCAAGCTCACACTTTGTTACGAGTGAACATGTCTGATGTGGGAATCACTTTGTAAAACGAGGTTTGGTTCATTTATCACGCATTCAAGCACTTAGAAGAAGAGGAGAGATCTTCATTGTCATTGTACGGAGCTACAATGACATTATAAGAGGGTTCCCTGCAGCTTTGAGGGGTCGAGACTAGAAGAGCGCTATATAAATACAGACTATTTACCATTCTCTCTCTCATCAAAGAAAGATATACAGTGTAAAAAATGTAGAAAGATATAAGCATGTAAGTAAAAAAACAAATCTAACAATATAGTCTTATGTCTTTTCTCATGTTTGAGGTGACCTAGACTGATCATCATGTAAAACTGTATTTTCCATAGTAGCCTGTATATGTACAGACTGTATAAGATGGACAATGTGTGTAATTAAGCTAAAATATCTTGGATACAAATGCTGCCATCTTGCACATTTGGAGCTAGAAACAATCTTTGAGAAAATTGTATTTGACTTTTTAGTTTTGTCCATGTCCCATCTGCTAACATGGAGGAGGCAGGGTTGATGAGCTGTACTGCAGCCAGCCACCAGATCAAGATCAAGATGCTTTGGTTTCACTTTTGGAGAGCTGTCACATCATCCGTCTTTGTACCCACTGACAGGTCATAATGTGAATGGTATAGGTGGTACTGAGAACGCCATCAGTGACAGCATGCAGATCATCAGGACCCTGAAACCTTGAGTGTGAAGCAGCTGAAGCCTCAAACCTGTGATGAACATGTCAGCTGATGCAAGGAAGTTCTCACTAATTCAATCAGCAGGAAAAAAAACACCCAACATGTGAGTTATATCAAACCGACCATCATAAACAGGAGTTTTTAACCAACTCCAGTCATAGACGCCTGGACATAGTCACGATTAACTGAGCTCACAATTTTAATTCTAAGATTACTCCATTCAGCAAGTCCTTCCAGTTCCGCTTTACGTCCCTCATGACAAAATCTGACATGTTACTAAAAATGTTACTTCTGTCTCCTCTCTATGGTAGTGGCCAGTAAACCATGACAGTGAGGGTGCATCCACAAAGCCAGGAACATCGAACAGATGCATCTTGGCAACCTGTGTTTATAAAGTGCATCAACTAACTGCTGATGTAGATAAACTACACGTGGTTTCAAACATTACGATAAAAAGCAGTTGTATCATGAGATAGAGCATGTATGAAACCTTGAACCAAAAACCTTCTGTGGGTCTCCTTTTGGTATTTCTAAGACATGTTATATAACTGTATCACGTCTTAAAGAACACCTAAATGATAAATACAGAATTCCTATATTTCTTAGTTGCTGTTTTTTAACATAAAAAATCAGTGAGAGTCAGACATGTTTATCCGTCCTTGAGATCTTGAACATGCATCAGGATGAAATTTGATCTGCTGACAGGGTGGAGGCCACATTACACACCAGAGGGTGACGTCAGCGTACAGAGCTCTGGAGACGATCCAGAGACTCTCCAGATGCACAGTGGTTTCATTCACCATGCCAGGCTGATTCAGGAAGGGGGGGTGGGGGGGTGCCGTATCTGAGGTTATGGCTGCCTGGACGCACTGAGGATGCGAAACACAGCTGACTGACCTCATACGTGTCCTGAAGTTGATCTGCTCCGTCTGACCGCCCCTCCCCACTGTGTTGTGCACATCACATGTTTAACCACTGCAAATGAAATTTGTCTAAATCTTGTACTGTACAATTACAGTGGCCTACACTTCAATCATTATGAAAGCACGATAAAATGAATTAAAGCACTTTTGCAGAACACTATGATGTCACAGTGAAGTGGACCTGTGACCTCTCAAAATAAGATATAATCACTTCCTCATTTTATCCAATTGGAGATTTTTGTCTCCAAATTGCCCATGCCAGCAGTGTGTGCAGGGGATTTGTGCATATAGAAGTATGAGTAGTGCTGTATGAATATGTGCATGTGAAGGGCCGGACATTCAGGTACAGTATCACAGCCTCAAAACAGATTTTGACACGAGGACCATTCTCAAGATGGGGTTATGAGATCAGGTAATAAACGCAGGATCCCCTGAACATTAGCAACACAGACATTACTAGTGAACTGTCTGTAACAACCAAAGGCCACAAACTGACATTTGGACCAATGGAGTTCAATTACCAAGAAATCTTAAATGATCATGCAACAATGTCTATCATATACTGACAGAGGCCTATTACGTTAAATACATGCATGTGACTGTGATTTGGATTAAATCCATCCATTCTCTTGTCACAATAACAAACACATTGTCCTGACTGTACAGTGAAAGCAGCGCAGCACATGACATATGAATGAGCTTAGAAGCAACAATAACACAAAGTGTCTCTCTATTAAGTGCAGTGGAAAAAAACAACTGGGGGTTAGTGTGCTGCCTCACAGGCATCCCTGACGCAGCTGACGGTGACACAGCAACGGAAGAAACAGGAATGAGCTGATGGGAGCCTTGAATGTTGATGTGTGTCGCCTATATGATGTGTTTATGTTGAGTGGAGTTTCTGTTGTGCTTAGTTCAATCATTGCAATGCAGAAGCTTTGCGATTAACATGGTGCATTTGAGCAAACACATCTTATTCTTCCAAGAGGCCGTGCACTAGAATCCAGAGAGTCTGAGATGTATGGGCGGAGGGGGCATCTTGCAGCTGCATCTCTGAGAGGTCTGGGGGAAACACAAGTGGCTCCATAAGGAAATATAAAATGCAAAGGCGATGCCAAAAATAAAGGCAGCACAAATAGACCACTGTGTGCAGAACGTCACAGAGTTCACTTGGCCGCTCAGTTTAGTAACATCTGTGAAATGAAGTTGGTTTGAATAAGAGGAGGCTCGTGAAGTTATGGCCTTCACAATTCTGGAGTGCAGGAGCAACAACTGTGTCTTTGTGTTGTGAATTGTGGGGTGGGGGAACAGGGGTCATACGTATAGTGCGACAATGCCCTCTAGTGTCTGTAAAGTGTGTTGCCCTCTCGGGATTGAGAGCTTCAGTTTTAATTCCAGCACCATTTTTTTAAGAGACACGAGAAATATGTTTGAGCAAATCCCCCCATTTGAGTGTTTCACACAAGAAAACAATGATTTCATTTTCACAATAACATAGCTTGGTTGTCAGATTATTTATTTACACCCCTGGTTGCTTGAGTTAACATGGAATCAAACCACAACTCTGAACGTAACACTGAGCCAGCATTGCTCCCTCTATCCGAGTCCTTTTAACAGCTGCAGGCTCATTCACACTCAAGATGTGAATATTTCAATTTGCCCTGCATTGTGTAGTGCTGCGTAGCTAAAATATTCATTTGATAGCAGATCCACACAAATGGGAAGCCACTGAAGAAGCTGAGTATCAAACTATATTTATTGTATACAGTATAGGGACAACAAATAATGTACAAATAAAAATTAAAAAAAGGTGAAATATCTGCCAATGTCACCCTGCAAATCTAACAGACTTTTTAAAATGAAGTTGGACGTTCTTACAAAACAGGATTTCTACCGACCCACAAGTCCAACGAACTAATCTGTTGAAAATATAAAGAGATTTGAGACAAATGTAGTCAAATTGGCAACACAGCAATGACTTGATATTATACAGTGAAATATATAAGATACGATGGACTGCTAAAAGTGACACGATTACATGTTGTATATTTTAAAAAGGTCCTGAAAAGGTGGGATAAGACCACTGTTACAGAGTCACGGAAACCTTTCACATCTACACCTTTTATTCCCCAAAATTCTTTCATTAAACATTTTTGGTCCAGAAACAACCATAATTTAATTACCATTTAGTTAAATCTGTGTCGTGTGACAGTATTGAGGTAAAACGTCCATATGGATCTTTCTCTGCACAAGCATTTTTTCTGTAGAAAGTAAAATGGGTTTTATTAAATTATTTTAAACGTTTATTTAAAAAAACACTACTGAAAGTTTATTACATTAGAAATATGTCATAAGAACTTTCCACCTGTGGAGACATTAATCATTGCCTCCGATGCAACAGTTTTCATCAGAACATTAACATTAATTAACTAAAATAAGCCCATCCTGAATTTGAATTTGTGCAAGAACAAAAAAGATTTTGGTTGTTGATTCCTGTGACATGCAGGATGTCATGTCAGTTTTTTGTTTGTTTGTTTTTTTTAAATATGAAAGCCATATCCGATTTAAAATGGACAAATTTGAATCATTAATTTGTGAATAAAACACCTAAAAGTCATGATTTGGCTTCCAAAAAAAAACCCAAAAAAATAAAATATATAAACCTTAGTTTGTGAAAAGCCTGATATTTAGCAAAGCACAGCGGAAAAAAAGAAACAAGTAAAAACAAAAATAAACAAATACAACATGAAAATATGGTGTGGATGTTCTCCCAAGAGCAGAGTCCACATTACACTTAAGAACAGACGCCTCCTGTCTGTTGTTGAAATACATCAATAGTGTCTTCATCCTCCATCTCCAGCTGTGAGGAAAGAACAAGTTACACATTAGTCATTCAGCAACACAGAAGAACACGTATGTTACAAAGATCATAATATTTGCTCTTAGCCAAGAGGGCTTTTTAGAAGTTGGTTCATAACACTAGCAGTGAAAGATGTCAATAATTTATCGTCTTTTTTGAACAAATTCACTTAATGTCCCTTATAGTTGGTTTTGTTTTGAAATCATGCAGCATTTGAGTTTTGTGTTAAATGAACAAAATTGTTTCCACTTCAAAAGAAACCTCACCACCCAAAACTTGTTAAACCACCAAAAATAAAAAGATACGTTGTTTAAAAGAAAAATCTAGAATTGTTTTTGCAATACACATACTGTTTTAAATTACTAAACCATGTTTTAACTACACACCGACCCCAGAATTCTCGACCCTTCGGTGGTGATTACAGCTCTGAGTTCTCATGGTTTATTCTGCACATTCAGATTCAGGCATTTTATCCCGATTGACCGGACAGATCCTTTCAAGCTCCATCAGACTGAATGTGAAATGTATGAACGGCCATGTTCAGGTCTCCACATAGATTTTGCATGGCAACGGAGTGTCTAGGTTTTGGCTGAGCTGCTCTCATGGACAGTCAGTCTTGTCCAGAAGCCAATCAAGCAAGTTGTCTTGGCTGTATGCTCCTGCCCATTGAGGCTGAAATATGAACCCTGGACTTGTTTTATGCTCAAGTAAGAAGTCTGACAATCCTATCTCACACATTAGAAGAGAGCAAAGTCAAAGCAATAATAAAGTTTTCTATTTCTGATTATTTGGCTGCATTCATCCTTCCTTACGTTCTGACCAATCTCAAGGTTGCTGGCAAGGAGAAGCACGCCATCAGCATGGCGCCACTACCACCATACTTCAACATGGAGATGGTATCGCCAGGTGATGAGAAGTGGCTAGTGTATCTCTGAGTGTGAAACATATTCCTCATGCTCTCAGTCTTTTAAATGCTGTAGAGTAAAAGAGGGTCTCAAGGCAAAGAAAGAATTTCATTGTAAAGGGACTGTACATACGTATGACAACAAACACTTTGAATGTGAACCATTGGGATAATTGTCAGATTCCTGACAAACGCACTTCCCTTCTGGTCACCCACACAACTAACTGTCAAAATTCTTGGTGGTTACAAACTTCTCAATCATCGAGGCCTCTGTGCTCCAAGGAACACTCAATAATTTGGAACTTGTTTAATACTGTTGTCTTGATAAATGCCTTCTACACAGGTTGTTATGATTTTTATATGTGCAATCCCTTCAACGTGCCACAGTTGGGACTCCAGTCAAGGGTTTAGTAGATTTGGCTCGAGGGTAATTAAAGCAAAACGTATGGAACCTGACAACAAATGAGAATATCAAAGCGATCGGGCAAAGGGTCTTTTACAGTTCGGTAAAAAATAAACATGTTTTCATTGTGTCCTTGCAGACTGTGTGAACTGATGCGATAAGGTTTTAACAGTGTCAAACTATTGTCAACTTTCTGTTTCAACCTCTGTTTTTAGGATTAGTCTTATTTAGGTGGAGATGCTATTTTTTTATACTAATCACAGAATAAATAAGTTCCACTAACAACCTGACTATCTGTAAGCAAACAGGTATTGAACCTGTGGCCTTTAAAAAGGTCCAGTGTGTAAGATTTAGGTGAAAGAGAACTATTGGCAGACATTTTATGTAGAATAATCCTCATGATGTTTTCACTTGTTCATTTCATCTGAGTTATATGAATAGTAGTTTTCTTTACCACAGAAAAGGCCCTTTATATTCAAATACTCAGGTATTTACATCGAGGGGACCCTCTCTACAGAGGCCGCCATCTTTTTTACAGTCGTCCAGAATGGACAAACTAATCACCTTTTGAGTTTTTATGACAACTGAAGCTACCACAGGTTCTTCTTCATGTTTGGAAGGGGAGGGTGGGGTGAGGGGTGTTCAGCTGCAACATGCAATTGAAACACTAGATATCACTAAATTCTACACACTGAACCTTTCAGATTTGTTGCACAGTGCACATTAATGTGTGTAAGTACATCATCTATTTTGGTGTAAAATAAAATTAAACAATGATAATTGACAGAGACACCACAACTATCATAACTCAATACAACACCATGTAAAAGGCTGATAGGTAGAATTGAAGAGTGTGTTTCACCAACCTGTGAAGGTGTGTCTGTTTCATTAATCGGCTGTCCATCAAACCTAAACCGTATCTGACGAATTGACAAACCCTGGAAGAGACACACAGCGTCCATTAGCAGCTGATAGAGCGATCACAGGGAGCTGATGGTGAGTTCACAGCAGATGAAGTTACCTGTCTTTCGCAGTATGCCTTCATTAGTTTGCTGAGCGGAGTGTGCCTCTTGATTTTGAACTGTACGACCGACCCGTCCTGACCTGCTACCTTCAGGTTGATGTGGTCGTTCTCCGTCTTCACTCCTTCCTGCAACAACAAAACCCGCCATCATCATCATCATCATCATCCGCGACCCACCGCTTATGTGTCTAAACACACCGGCAGCTAACTCAAGTAGCGAGCTAGCTTAAGTCAGCTCCATGTACAGGATGAGCTCGGTCCTGGCGGAGGGTTTCACCGTCCGCACACTTAGTGCTACACACTCCCTCCGGTGGTTAGCATAGCAAGCTAGCCGTCGCTCAAACTGGCGCAGAGAGCCACAATGGCGCAAATGAAAAGAAAACGCGCATATCATTCATTTGACTGGAAATCCCTCATTAGCCACGGCTGCTCGACTCAAAGCTGAAACTAGCATGTAGCAGCAGCCGCAGCGGGTGGAGGGATCGGAGGGACGCGACCGAGTGTGCGCCTAAATCCAAAATATCCGCAATTTGCTGAACCTTTGTTTTCTGCGTCTACCCGCTCAAATGCGGCATCTGTAGCCCGGGGCACACTTAGCTTAGCTGTGCTAACGTTAACCTGCTGCTGGCACCATTAGCGCTGAAAGACAGACGGGAGACGCCGCGCAGCTCCGGAGGAACACCGCACTGACCTTTGGCTTTTCTTCGGACATCCTGCTGTGTGTTCCCGGGGAGGATCCTGAGGTTTAGCGGGAGACGGTTCACGGTGAAGCGGCTCGTCAGCTCCTCCGGCTCTTTCGTTTTGGACCAGGGGCGCGCGCCGAAATTTAAAGTGTGATTCGACCAAAAGGGTCACGTGCTCCTCGGTGCATCGGGGCCGCGTATACGTGAGCGCGCAAGGTCGTTTTGCGCACTCCCGCGAGTTAGATGGAGGAAGCCCATGGGTGAAAGTAAAAGATCCTGCTGCAAAATACACATGAATCCTGTCACATTGAATGTAATATTCAGGTGTGGATGAGAAACTGTATTTAATAATATTAGTTATAGTTTGAAAGGAAACTTTAATCACATAAAAAGACTTGAGTCACAGTCACAGCCCTTTTATATGCATTTGATATTGCTGTAATGACCCTGAACCACTTTACTGACATTGTAAATCATTTCTTTCAATGTTTATATATAAATTTTCTGTTTCCTTATTGTATCCCTGAAGTTTCACTCTGCGTTTCTACATTGGCCCACTGTAGCTGCTATTGGTTAAAAATCAAGAAGGGTGTTATTGGTAAAAAGAAATAAGTTAAGGATCCAAATAGTTCAAATAAGGCTCCAATGTATCCTGCAGTTTAACAAATGCAGACACTGTCTAACAGAGGGTCAATATTCCACTTATAAACATGCATCTATGGTGAAATCCTTTTTCTGGTCATGGACCACAGCAAGCAGCACGCAGACTGTTGTGTTACCATTTAGAAGTCCATACAGGAGCAGGGTTGCATGCACTTAAGAACAATTTCTCACTATCTATCACCAGGCCATCGCGTTTCTAAACTCGTTGTCAATTCATGCCCAGTTATCCTCTGCTTATCTCCTTACCTGCCTGCCCTCACTCACCTCTGGGAAATGTGCGATAAACTATACATACACATTCCATACACCTAAAGTTTTCACTAGATTTGTATTCTTGAATGTCACACTGCACCTTTGAATGTGTATAGTTTGTATAGCATTTGACTTTTTTCTACTTTGCTTTTTGTTTTTATTTAATTATTGCACTGCTGAGCTGATTTGTTTGAGTGAGTGAAAAGATGTTGGGATTAGGTTAATCTATCCTGTAGACATCCCTCAAAATCCAACCGCTTTAGGCCTTGTCCAGGAGCCAATAATGATTTCACAGTATATTCTTATCTCCTTAAGAGAATTAGATGACACATACAGGAAAGATTGATGCATCTGAAGGAAGATCTTATATGTCCAGTAAAATATTTCCACAACAGAAGCACAAAGAGTCATTCAATAAATACCCAACTGAAATGATGAGGTGGAAGCATTGACACTAATTTATATGTGGGATTTATGGTTCCATATCGTCTCCCAATTTTTAATAAATTCATTTTTGCTCCTTTATTTTAAAACACTGATTTTGTAAAAAAAAAAATGTTATAAGTAAAACATGCAAGTCACAAACACATTCAGTTTTGTTCATTTAATTTTTAAATGTATGGTCACATTTTGTTTTCAACAGCTGCACAAGAATCAAATGCTTCACATGTAAATCAAGGACACACATTTAAGCTCTCAATCATATTCTGGTATTTATCAACTGATAAAATAAAAATTAAAAAACATGTAAAATTTGTTGCATGTTACAAATGAACGTTTAATATAAAAATAAGTGATGACTAACTTCTAAAATGAACGACAATCAGTAAAATGCTGCTATTTAAAAAGCACCTTAAGCATCGATCAGCTCTGGAGCTGTAGAAATTCATAACACTGCATTTTATGCAAATTAAGTTTGCTTGTGATGGAGGATCATATGTACACATGTAGTTTACTGGAGAGAGAAGCAAGTTAAGTGAACAGATTTTCACACAATCATTCACATCAACATGAAAACAGGAGAAATATTATTAGCAGAAAACGACGTGTAAAAAAAAAGAAACATTAGGCGAACTTCAGAACGTTTTGGTGACATCACTGAAATCAATCTGCACAATCACAGTTGATCATATGCTACTTTTATGCTGAATCTCAATGTTACTGGCATCAATAAGATCAACTTAAAGGATTTAAAAACAGGAATCATCGCTGTAATTCTTCTAGCGGTCGTCCATTCGGCAGTATGGATTATCCTTTGCCAGACCTGAAAAAGAGGAATGGAGAACGCATGAGTTTTAATTTGAGGGTTAAAAATGTGAGTTTACAGCAATTCATATGTTTTTCAGATTTACAAAAATCATCAGTTTTTAAATTGAATTCATGTGTATCAAGTAAGTCAGTGTAGTTTCTCTCCAGTGGAGGGCACTACTGTTGGAATCATTATTGAAATGCTACATCTTTCCCTTGGTTGATAAATACCTTTTATAACAGGTTCTTGTTTCATCTACTAAGATTTTACTATAAATATAATAATTTATTTAATCTTATCTTTCCCCTACCCTGTTTTTATTTATTTTACACTTTGCTTGTAAACTAAGCATCTGCATAACAGTCCTCTCTGATGTTCCAAATTTACATGTATTAACCCACTCGAACCTCACAAACAATGAGCGTGTCTCACCATATTTCTGCCTGATTTCATCGTGTCTCAACTGCATCTCTGTTCTCCTGTAACGGGAAGAAATACTTGGTAAGATAACAATAAACACTGACCACTCTCATGTCTACAGTGTCTGAATTCTGAAGTAAGGATCAACACAAGGTACCAAAACCCGGTTTCACATTTTACAGGTAGTTGTGTACCGATTTATAATAATAATAATAAATTGCACATTTAATACATCAAATGCATCTCAAAGTGCTTTACAATAAAATCAAAGACATGAGATAAGATAGATCAATAAGAGCACGTTAGCAATAAAACAAAGACTTAAATAAAACTAGCAAAAGGTATAAAAAGAAATACACAAAAAATAAGACAAACTAATTCATTATTCAGGCTGGAATGATGTATACCTGACAATGATTCATGAATAATAAAGTTTTGTGTTATACATCTGAGTTTGTATTTTCAGATTTACCGGGCTTTCTGACGAGCATTCCTCGCCCGGGTTTGTCGCTCCACCTTTGCATCTTCTCTCTTGCTTCTGTAATATCAAAGTATGCAACTACATCAGTATTCATCATAGATTTTATTGCAATTTAAAAGAGAACAGTGTGCTTACACTTCAATCAGCCCAATAATCTGACCAAATATGTCAATTTCCTCTTTACACTCGTTATTAAATTCACTCGTTTTTGGAGGACACGTCTTCATAGAGAGAGCAAAGTTATTTTCAGAGTTAAGCTGCAGTCACAAATTCTGGCAGGCTTTAGGAGATGGCGGTATCAGCCGAGCCTGGCAGAAAAAACGACCCATTGTGTTTCCCCCTCCTCCTCCTCCTCCCACGCTGAACCAGATTTCGCGGCCCACACTTCATGTGACTTAATACTTACCCGACTCTTTCACATTTGCAGCAGCAGCAGCAGCAAACGAGGACGGCGATGATGAGGATGCCGGCCAGCACCGACATGGTGATGATCAAAACCTGGAAGTTTACTGTATCAAAGACAGACGAGAAGAAAATGTAAAAATCCAATAAATAAACATAACAAACGTTTTCTCGATTTGACTTTATTTAATAACTGGGTGTTTTAGGTCTTGGTAGAGTACACAATACTAATTTATTATTATTCAATTTGTTGGTTATTAATTCAAATATTTATTATCTCATAAGATTTCTTTATCCGAGGAAGGTCCAAGACCACGTCTGTAATTTGAGATTATTTTCATCATTGATTGATTTGAAGATAATTAATTGTATGACTTTTAAAATATCAAAAAATAGTCAAATAAAATTCCACAAATTCCAGCACCACTGTATGAAATCTTCAAATTGCTTAAAATGTTAAATTTACCATCAGGTAGTAAAAAGAAAAGCAGCAAATCCTCATAAATCAGAAGCTGTAACTTTGGCATAGTTGTCTTTTGTATTGAAAAATTACTTGAACGGTGCATTAATTATTGTAGAAGTTGCCACGTAATTTATGACAACTGTTATTTACTCCTATAAAGATGTCCCACAAAGAATCTCAATATCAAATGCTTGCAGGGTGAACCCAGATGAAAAGTCTTACCCCAGCAGACCCCCCATCGTGCATCAGTCAAAGGACACACGCTGCTGGGGGGCAGGATGTTCCTCACTGGGTAGTCGAGGCATTGTTGGGTTGGTCCACACCACAAACACTGCAACAGATACAGCAAACAATACAGTGCTGAATACCAGAGGACAACCGGAGACAGCATTTGTATGCGCCTGAGTTTCAGGAGACTCACTGTGACATTCTGCAGACAGTCCGCACAGCTGCTGTTAGATCTCGAGGCACAAGGAGCTGCAAATGAGGAGTCACAGTGGGTTCTAGTTTTATGGATGGTTACAGGCCCTATTACCATTCTGTACGTTTGAGCAGTTCTAGAAGTAAAGTTATCAGGAAATAAGAAGAAATAAAATAACAAATCTGATACAATCTTACTGTAAGTTGTATCCTCTGCCCACAGGGATAAAAGATGACCAGAAAACACAACAGCATTCAGTCAGATTCACACTTTCCCACAAGAAACACTAGAGATAAGTTGACTTTCTGTAGAATCCAACACATGTCCACAAACAGTGCAGCCTTTACATGAACTCCAGATGTTTATCTTTACTTCTACATTCATGAAAATCCATTTTGCCCAGAGTCATGTGACAGGCTCCTGACCTGGACATAACAAAGCCCATCAGCCCCGGAGGAGCGGAGAGAGGAGAAGTCACTTACACGGAGCTGGATCCGGAGTCTGCGCCTCTGTGCTCAGAAACACGCCGCACAGGGCGAGGGCAGCGGCGGCCACGGAAGCTCTGCACACTCCGGTCATCGTGGAGCGAGTGGAAACCATCGAGTGCGTGAAAAGTTTCAAACTACAAGTCTGGAGACACGGAGGAGGAGGAGGAGGAGGGTGGAGCCGAGCGCGATGACGTCACGAGCCTCTGACGCAACGGCCGTAGGGTGTCAACATCTGGACACTGAGTTTTCTATTTTTTACGACAGTGAACGTAAACAAACACAAGTCGATGTTATGTTCAAACAACATTTCAAAGACTATGAATGACCATCATTTGACTTTATATATAATT